AGGCTTAGAAAGAAAACACTATTCTGGAAACATGCAGAAATTTTTCTGTTTTGTTATTTTCTCTTTTCCCTTCATTTAACCAAACAAATTGTTTTCTTTGCTCCTCTGTTGGTATTTATTATTATTATTATTTACTATTGGTGGAGTCTGGAGTTGTATCATCAGTTTTCTTATTTCCCCTTTCAAAACATAACTGTTTTATGTTTGAATAGGTCCTCCTTTTTCCTGTCTCTTCTTTCCTTGCTTTCTCTTTCAACCAATATATCCTGAGTATTTCTTCTTATTCTCTTTCCCTCTAGTTTAATCACCATTCCCTTTTACTAATCCTTAGCCTAGTTGGTTTTTTTGTTACTGTTATCTAATACTACTAATTTCTCTTTACTCTTTAAAACAATCTTTCACATCAAGCTTACCACCCCTTCCATCTTCCAATGCTTAATTTTTTATAACCTATTTCTTTTCTCTTCATGGTCCCATAGCCACACCATTTACCCTTATGAATCTGCAGGTAGTTAACAATATCTTACTACAGCTGAATACTGTTCTATTTGAAAAGACATAAAATTGCTCTATTGAATAGGTATTTAAGGTATATAAATACCTGATTTGTCTTACAGTTTGTTCTATAAATACAGATCTTAGCCCTACTGTTAAAAGTGGTACAGTATTATTAGTTTGTCATTAAAGACTTTGTGCTTGATACTCTTCTTGATTGTAATACGTTAGCCAAGGGGGACATAGATATTGTGATCAATTGGTGTTCAGTGCATGTAAATATCCATATTGTCTAGAGGTCATTAACATACATCACTACACTCCATGACCAAAGAACTGGGTACTAGACCTTCCCTCACTCACAAAGGTGGCAGGACCCTGGGACATACCCTAAGTCCAGCCACTACCTAAGCCTAGAGGACATCTCTGAAAAGTTGATGCTGTTATAACCAGAAGTAATTATCTCTGCAAAACATAGGGAAAGAAAACAAACAAATCACTTAAAGACTTCACATGGAGGCGATATCTTATTAAAGTCATATAAATCACAAGCTCTCTTCACTCTAGTAGAGCTCAACCCACAGTAAACTTCTCCCACCACAAAAAAGGAGGGAAAGAAATGACAGGGGTTATATATGAAAAACGTATACATACACACAGAACCATGGCGTACCAAAGCAATAAAAGAGCCCCGAGCTCTCCCAGCTCTCCCGAGGCAGAGCAAAAGGTCACAGAGGAAGAGGAAAGCAAACACCGGTTAGTGAATGCAGCACATCATCAAACAATCATATATCATGACTGAGTAGGTTTCACACCAGAGATACAAGGTTGTTTCAAATAAGTCAATAAATGTAATGCATCATATAAACAGAAGCAAGGTCAGAAACTACACAGTATATCAATAGATGCAGAAAAGGAAAAAACTAAAAGTATCACCCCCCCACCCGCCCCCACAAATCAGTAGCTAAAACATTAGCCAGAGCAATTAGGCAAAGTAGGCAAGAGGAAGAAATAAATGGAATACATACAGGAAAAGAAGAACTCAAATTATCACTCTTTGTAGATGACATGATACTCTATGTAGAAGCAGCAAGGAATTCCACCCCAAAACTCATAGAACTAATAACCAACTACAGCAACATAACAGGATATAACATAAACACATAAAAACCTTTAGCATTTATGCACTCCAATAATGAACTCAATGAGAAGGAAATTATGAAAACAACACCATTCACAGAAGCTTCAAAAATAATGAAATGCAATGGAATTAACCTAACCAAGGAAGGACGTCTCCAAAGAAAAGTACATTACTCTGAAAAAGGAGATTGAAGAGGACATCAGAAAAATAAAATACGTTCCCTGCTCTAGGACAGACAGAACCAATACTGTCAAAATAGCCATATTCCCAAAACTGTTACAAAGCTTCAATGCAGTCCCAACCAATACACCAACAGCATACTTTACAGAACTCGAGAAAACAATCCCAAAATTTATATGGAACAAGAAGAGATCCAGAATAGTAAAAGCAATTTTTAGCAAGAACAAAGTAGGAAGCCTCCAATATCAGACCTCAAGTTATTCTACAGAGCAACAGTTGATAAAAACAACATGATTACTGGAAAAATAAAACAATACATGGATCAGTGGAACAGAATAAAGGATAGAGAAACATTCCCAGCCACATTCAGCTATGTGATCTTTGACAAAGGGACCAAAAGCGTATGTTGGAGGAAAGACAGCCTGTTCAACAAGGGGTGCTGGGAAAACTGGTTACCTGTTTGCAGAACATTGAAACTGGACTCATACCTGTCAGGTGTACTAAATTAAAATAAAAATGAATCAAACATCTGAGCATTAAAACGGAAACATTAAACTTACTGGAAAATAAACACTTGAAGACATAGGTGTAGGAAAAGGTTTTCTAAACAGAACTTCAGCTGCACAAGAAATAACATCAAGAATCAATAATGGGATTATATCAGACTAAAAAGCTTCTGTACATCAAAAGACTCAATTAGTAGAGTGAAGAGACAGTCTACAGAATGGGAAGAAATTTTTGCCGGCTCCTCCTCAGACAGAGGACTAATATCTAGAATATATAAAGAACTAAAAAGAATTTCTGACCCCCTAAAATTAAAGACCTGGTCAAGAAATGGGCAAGTGACTGGGAAAAGTGGAGAAATAAATAAAGGAGGCAGAGTTTGTTTAAGTGCTAAAGGAATTATTCTAACTATACTATGGTGGTGATTATGATTATTTTAAATGAATGAATAAAATGATAAGCAAACTATATCCCAAAGTTGGCAGAAAAGACAACAACGAGTTGATAATTTTTCAAAATTTGGAGAGCTATTCACAATATAACTGATAATAATGAATGAAAGGAAAACGTCGGGAAAGAGGAAGAGAATGGGGAGAGAGGAAAATGCAGGAAAGGAAGGTGTGCGGGAGCAAGAAATTGAAGCCAGGAATAAAAGAAGAAGCAAAAGGAAGCAAGAAGAGAAGGGAGAGAAAGGAATAAAAAGCAATCAGAAAAGAAAACAATGAAGAAAGATAAAAGAACAGAGGATGGTAGGGAGAGAAAGTCCGGAGAGAGACAGATGAGAGAAAAAGGCAGGAACATAGATACCAATGTGCCCCTATTTACTACACTGCTAGACACAAAAATTCTAGATGAGAGCTTAGTGGGGAAGGCCTTCTTCCTGTTGTTCTTCTGATTTTTGTTCCTAAACAAGAATGTGACAGGATTATTGATCTTGAATGTCAGACTCTTCAACTAGCTACTTTGAGGTATTTCAGCATTTGAGTAGAAAGTAAACGACAAACGAGTCCGAATTCTTGACAACCACAGTAAGCCAGATTGCAGACATGAACAAGGCAATCTGGTGTTCCTCAGCAGAGGGGACTCTCCAGGTGGCAGTCCCATGAAAACAAGAGAGAACAGCTAGCACTAAGGACCTTCCAAGACCACACTCATGGTGAAGAGGACCTCTTCTCTGTACAAGCACACTTCACAAGGAGCAGTGTTGCAGATAATACCTTGGATTACCATAGACTTAGAGGGCATAATAGAAAATTACTATTGTCACCATAATTGCGGTAACTAAAGACATCAAAGGAAAAACCCACATGGTTATTTTATTCCATCAGTAATAACAGAAGACGTATTTATGGAACATTTAATGAGTTCCCATCCATCCGTCCTGCCTGTGGTCTCTGAGCCACTCTCATACTGAGCCAGCACACAACCCCTCCTTTTTGTCACACTGAGAACAATCTAACCGCGGGGAAGACCCTCTGTTACAGGTGCTGATTTTAGAACCCTCCAGCATGTTCTCCTCTCCTACATTCTTTCTCCTCCCATTTGTTCCACTCTACAAAAAACTCTTTTCTCCTGAACCATTCCTGTGCCAGCACACCTTGAACCCTACTGCAGTACTGCTTAATATAAAGTCCACCTCAATCCATATTTCAGGTTTTAAAACAACGTTCTCAAGCAGTCCAAGGACTATCACAATTGTATGAGATGACACCTTCACCCTTTTTGCTCCTCACAAATTACAAGTCCATGTAAATGGCCCACTGCAGAGTTTCTCACTATGGGTTTAACTCGCATACCCATTTGGAAGTTGTCCTTAGCATGGACACCTTCTGCTGCCTCGCTAACATACTAATTCCTCCCCCATTTTTCTCAGCATTCTGAACTCTTTTGGGAGGCCTCACTTAAATGGTCTACTCGTGCTGGGTGTGGTGGTGCACTCTGTAATCACAGCACTTGGGAGGCCTGAGCAGAAGGATCGCCTAGAGTTGGAGACCAGCCTATGCTGCATGGGGAGTTCAAGGCCAGTCTGAACTACACAGCAAAATCCCATCTCAAAAAAACAAACAAAAAAGGTCTATTCTGTGTACAGAGTAGCCACCTAATTAAGACGATACATTTTTTTGTGTTGCTGTGTGTGTAACACATGAGTTCACTGCATGCTTGGCAATTACTCCACCACCGAGTCACATCACCACTAATATTAACTATTTCTTTGGATTCCCATTGCCTTGTCAACACCTATCATGAGCGTGGCAATGAGGGTCATAATGGAAGTTTACAATTTCAAGGTCATCAGGAAGGTGCATTTGCACCAGAGGAGGGAAGTTGTTGGTTTGAGACCCTGCGTCACAGACATTTATAAAATGCAGGTCTTCCAGGTGTGCTGCAGGGAGAACTCGCTTCAACCCCTCACATGAGTCAGGGTCATCCCACGACCCAATCTCCCCTGCCCGGGTGGACACCTGGCTGCGGGCTGGGGCTGCCTGAGCCTGCTCTGTAGGCTGGTGTGACCGCTGTGGGAGACAGAATGCTGGGGACCCACAGCTGGACCAGCCCCAGCCCAGAGTGGGACAGAGGGTACCCAGTGCCGGAGACAGGGGGACCTCAGACTGCAGCACACAGCGAGACTGGTTCCCGCCACATCCACTAACACCTCACCCCCATGCATCCCAGTTTGTACCGTCACCATTGTGTGGCCACGCAGGACGCAGCCCGCAGGAGTCACGGAGAAAGGCGGTCGAGCCAGGTGTGTTTCTCAGCAACGCTCAGATGCGGACATAGGCGCCATGACACCGGAAAAGCCCTCCCTCTCCCCACCTGATTGGGCCGTTCATACGACGGCCTCCTAGTGATTGGCTCCTGTCCTAATACCCGCCTCTTAATCAGTGATTGGCGACTGCTCCGTAGCCAATCCCCTGAGCTAAGAGTGAACAGAGCTAAATCCCTGCCTGCGTGAGCTGATCTCAAATAGTGGATTGTGAGGGAGACTTCTAGAGCGGCGGCTCTCCCGGAAGGTCCACCTCTCCAGCCTGATGAAATATTGTATTTAAGCAGAGTTTGCTCCCGCCTTTTCAGCGTTGCCACTTTTTTGGTCGGGGGTGGCGGGAGGCCAGGTCTTGCTATGTAGAGTCACTTCTTAGCTGAAGCTGGCCTTGAACTAGCTGTGATCCTCCTGCATAGGCCTTCCCAGTGCCATGATCAGAGACATGCACCATCACACCTGGTACTCCCTACTTCTTACTCGACTCAGTGGGCTTTTCCTTTCTCTTGCCCCTCAGAATGGGGTCACAAGTATGCTGTAACAGTTCCAGAGTTAATATTCCGTGGAGAAATCACAGCCATGACAGAACCAGGCAAGGCCAGGACGTTGAGACGGCCTGACGTTGTGAGACAACAAAAATTTGTAATAAGGTAGCTGGCTATGTGGACAAGATTTTCTAACACTGCAGCGGTCTAAGCATTTTAAGCCAAGACAATAAATATACACCCAAAAAAGGAATACAATTATTGAGTAAATAAAGAAACTAACAGTAAATTATAGCAATATTCTACAAAGGAGTCAAGATGAAAAATAAGCAAACATTTTAACTGCAGCAGACTGGCAACCCATTTTATCTAAGGTCACAGAGCAAACATGAATTGTGAAAACATATTCCCAGGCCAGAGAGCCAGAATAATTTCTGAAATACAGCCCCTATATTGGATCATTGCCTGGCTTTGAAGTGCGGACACCCAAAGACTTCAGACTGTAAGCTCCCTCCCTATGCCCTGCAGTTCCCTCCACACAGGTTAAACTGTCCAACTTTTAACTCACTATATTTCTTCAGGGAAAATATTACCTGGAGTCATGTGAAACTCTTCATTAATATCTCGTTTGGCTTGAGACGTGCGGTATAGTAGAAAGCACACTTCTGGCGTCTGGTTGAGTGGTGGAGGGGTAACACTAGGGGCCACACCTTCTCCCTCCCCCTTCCTTTCAGGCACTTGTTCTATTCTGTGCTTCCTGCCCTCGCATAGTAGTTATTTTCTGTCTTCATTTCTTTCCACTATGATATTTCTCCTTAGGAGACAAATAACAACAGATTTCAATCTCTGAAACCAAAGGAGAAAAGGAAAAGAAACAGGTACGAGCTCAGCAGTACAAGTTTATTTCAGAATAAACCTGAGAGGGATCGCTTTGGCACTAGAGACCAGACCCGTTCACTCTCCTACAGACTATAAGGTCCTTATAGTCTCATGAGCATAAAAAGAGGGGGGTGTGGAAGGAAGAGGTACAATGGGACTTTTGGGGGAGAACGTTCAGTACAAAGGAGTGTGGCTTTCCGCCCGCCTGGGACAGGGCTTGAGAATGCACAGGGGCTGTAATTTGTCAAGAACAGGGTTGAACACAATTGGAAACTCTAGGGTGTGGCTGTCCTTACTGGGCCTTACGGCCCATGATCTTACATCTGCAGCAGGTGTGAAGCATAGCAGGATGAGGGGATTTAAAGTGCTCTCTGCTCAGACCAGGATGGTGGCACCAGATCCCTTAACCATGAGCCAAAATAAATTTTTTATCCTTAAGGTCTTTGTACCCGTAACAAAAACTACAACAATTAACATTTGGTATCTGAAACTAGTAAACTACCAAATGCATCAGCTTCTTCAGAAGACTGAGTCTTCTCTAGGACTACTCTTCACAGATTTCCTTCATGTGTACACGTTTCAGTGTGACTCCAGCAACAATTTGTACATCAAAGCATTTTCTAAGGAGCAGCCCATGATAACCAGTAAGAATGTCTGCAAAGACCAAATCCCAGTACCACTCACACACGTCACCTGTTTCACTGCTCTGCAGCATGTGTCTGTTAACATATATTCCAATCAAGTCTTTGCATTAAAACCAGGTAAGCCCTTGTTTTTCTTTTGTGCTTATTCACACAGTAGAAAAACATAATTCTAAGAGACTATATATGGATTTAAAACATGCAAGAAATATTACTTATTGGAAAACAAAGATGTGATGAAATATTTCCATGTGACAGAATGTATTGAAACATCTAATCAAATGTACATCGTTCACGTTCTCCTGTATGTTGGTGGATCCCTCACCATTCCACTTGAATGTTCTCACAGTCTGCACTGTGCCTAGGGACTTACACATCCTGGATTGCTTATTAAAACTGCCTCTTGATTCCCTCCCAACACTATTGATCCTTTGAGTCATTTCTCTAGACAAATGCTAAGCATCCTAAGTACTTCTCCCTTTCCAACAATGTAACTGACCCACATTTTAATTTGCCGGAGCCTCCATCACATCCCTCTACTTCAGTTATCCATTAGAAATTGAGTTAAGTGCATATGGTGATGCTTCAAATGTGTTCTATGGACAAATTTATTGTGGCTATTCTTCAAAGCCTGTCACACCACAGGAATTATGAGGACACACATAGAATATTATTTTAATGAATCATACTTTAGGAATTCTGATGTAAGGACTTCTAAGACTCTTGAAACTTCTTTAGTGAAAACTCTCTACCATGTGTATCATAATATGATGGTTAATAACTGTACAACTATTCATAGTTTCTTGATGTGGAATCATCTGAAATTCAGAAAGACCAGGAAATGTTTAAAAGGTGGAACATACAGAAACTATTTCAGTGGACATTGTCAAGTGCTATGAGAGGCCGGGATCCACCCACTTGACATGTGGAAAGAGGAAAAAGTATTGAGACTCAGTTGATAATGAAAACCAAAAAAGCAAATCAATTCTCTCAATATACTAGAAAATTATTAAATGGTAGGGAGGGTGTCTTGTTCATTGTATGATACTTATCATCATGTTTGGCCTAAACACACAACATGACAAAAAAATCCACTCCCCCTTTATGTCATGTGAAATAAATCTGCAGACACATCTACATGTTTTTTGAAAACCAAGATCACCACTGTTTGAAAATCATTGACCTAGCAGCTACATTCCACACTTGGGCTGGTTGAATGACCAGACATCCAGAATGAGCAAAAAGTCCAGGGAATTTCCAAACCTGGGGGATTCCTCCATTTTTCCTCCTCTCCACCACAAACCAGGGGGGAGGAGCCTTCTCAAATTATTTGATCTCTACATTGCACTGCCAGTCGACTTGTCCTACCCCATATGGGCTGCATTACAGAATGTGGCCTGTGTGAGAAGGCCAAAGAGATTCCTGTTTGACACTCAGGTGACACTCAAGCCTGGAGGAGAGGCCAGATTAAGGGCAGCCTTCAACTAATGCTGCACACTTTCTCTCTGCTGTGGACTTCCCCACATGCCATTCCCATGGCCTTCTCCAGAAAGCCAACATGGAAGCCTGTTGGGAATCTGGGCAGATTCATGAGGAATTCAGAGGTTGCAGCCCCTTTCTGACCACATAACAAAGATTCCCTGCAAATCCTCCATTCCCTGGTCTATAAGGGAGAGGATCTCCCAGGCTTGGTGGATACTGGACTGGACAGACACGACTTCAGCCCTTTGAGACATCAAGACAGGGACAGGTGGCATAGGAGCTGGTTGGAAATAGTGTGAAGCCAGTGTTTTGCTCTCAGGTAAATAAGCTAGAAGTCTTCCCAACATCAAGGTAATGTAGACCTGGCAGTGGACGGATGGCTCCTCTTGGGCAGTGTGGATGTTGCTTGTCTGGAGGAAGTTGTTCAGCCATGGCTCTCTGCTCAGACATCAGTGCTTCCCTGTCCAGTTTCAATGAAAAAGAAAGTGCGTACTGTCCCTGTATATGAGAAGGATATGTTTCAGTGACCCTAATGTATGCCTCCAAGAGAAAAAAAACACTGGATATTATACGTTAGTAGCTTTTCTCTCTACATACATGCCAGTGATAAAATTTAATTGATAAACTGCACAGGTAGAGATATGAGTCTGGTATTCTGTGCACCACAACGTCACTAAACTTGAAGTCTCAGATGCTCCTTAAATTACAAAGTGGCAATGATTGACCATCCCAGAAAAGCTGAAAAAATGTGAAAATGTATTTAATATGGTTAATCTAATGAATATTATTACTAAACCCAGGTTACATGAACATGTTTATCATGTTTAAATTGACATGTTAACTGGAAAAACTAACATAAGTTGGATTTCAAAATAAAATACTACATATCATGTTTAATGTACACAGCAACCTGATGAGTACTTTTTCCCCCTGAGTGTCCTGTTACTGATAGAGCAGGGGCCACTGCCATAGCAGGAACAGTATGAGAATCGTACTGTTACCATATGTGCTGGGCTTGAGCCTCCATGAAACATTGAAGAATGACGTTTCGAACCAAAGCAGGTTCAGAGCTTTCCTGGAAACAAGGAGAGGAGAATAGCTCCTAAATTTCCAGGAGGAGTCTGGACTGAGCTGTCACACAGCCCTCAGTTGAGAATTACTTATAGGTAAGAGGGCACAGAAAGTGCTTCAAGTGTCTATGAAATTAAAAAAACGACAAACTGGAACTCAAGTTTTCTAGCCCAGTTTCTTTATACGGTATTTACAGTAAGCTGGGATCTTAGAAGAAACTAGTCATTTTGCGTTACAATTTCCTCAAAATCTTTAGGAAGGGTTGGGCGGCATTCGGAGTTTCCAAGGGAGTTCTTTGTATTTTAAATTCCTCCGTAGGTGGTGGTGCCTCTCTAGAGAGGCCGAATTCCATGTTGCTCATATTGCCCAAGGAAGGTTCATTCCTGGTCCAAGTATAGTTTACTGTCTATTCTTATTTTAATTTCCATTAATAAGGCTGAGTTTCCCACTACTGGTCCTTCACTCAGCTAGCTGCCTCACTCCTATGCTAACTAAATAAATTATATTCTACGGTACTGTTGCAGATAGGTAAGTTGATTATATGTCTTGTAGGTAGTTAGACAGGGCCGGCCCTCGAGGAGCCAGCATGGAAGACAATCCAGACACTGTCACTGAAGGCCAGCGTAAAGAAAGAAGAGAAACTACACCTGGGTGCTTCCCCTAGGAATCTGTAGCAGTGATTGATATTCTAAATAGGTATCAATCAAATAGGACCCAGATCTTAACCCATCCCTTCCAAAAAAGATCCCTGACCCACCCCTTACCAGGAATCCTTGTTTGTTCCTTGTGTGCTTGCTGTGTGACTTGGTTCCCCAGGAACTGTCACTTAATCAATATTACCTAGGCGACTATATTTGTAACCTTATTGGTTGATCATAGTTTTGTCCCACCTCACGTCTGCCTTTTGATTTCTCATTGGATTGATATTGCCTAAGTAACTGTACCTGTAATCTTACTGGTTGACTGTAGTTTTGTCCCTCCTCATGTCTGCCTTTTGATTTCTCATTGGATTGATATTACCTAAGTGACTGCACCTGTAATCTTACTGGTTGACTGCAGTTTTGTCCCACCTTGAACCCACCTCACCTTGTGGCTTTGTCCAATAAACACCTTTGAGAAGCAGGGTCAGTTGGCAACCCACTTACCAGTCCCACTCTGTCTCTCTTAGACAGAAGCTATCTTTCTTTCAATAATTTTTCCTACTCTTAACCTCCATCGTTCTTAGAATTCATTCTTTGATTTTAGAGAACATGAACTCACATTTCAGATATCTAGCAGGTTTGAGAGTTACATCTATTCCTTCTGTATCAGTACTACACATCACTGGTGAGGGTAAAGGGTACAATTCAAAAATCAGAGTATGTATTTGCTGGTTGCATATCAATTTTCTTTTATTCCTAAATCCTAGAAATTTAACTTTAGGTTCCTGTGCATACTAGACAAGTGTTGTAGAATGTAAATACATCTCCAACATAATTTATTTTGAAACAGGGACTTTCAAGGGGAGGGGGTTTGAGGGGGGAATGGGATAAAAAATTAATTAAAAAAAAAGAAACAGGAACTTTCTCCAAGGCACAAGCTGGGCTCAGACTTGGAATTCTTCTGCCTCAGTGTCCCAAGTGGCTGAGATAACAGGAGTAAACCATGATGCCTAACTTTGTGTCACTTTTGTACTATCATAAAGCCAATATATTGTGAGTGGAAGCATCATAATATTGTAGACAGCTAAGTGAGTTAAAATACTATAGCCAGTCAGAGAAGTTGGGCACCTGTCCTGAAGGTCAGGATTCAAGACAAAGAGTAATGACTACACCCACGTACTTCCCAGGGGTGAGCAGCAGTGATGATGCTCGATGCATCAGTCACCTTGGGTGGGGACCAAAACATCCCTGGCCCAATTTTTCCAGGAAAAGTCCTTGTTTGGTCCACACACACTTACTATGTGACTTGCTTCCTCATTTGATCCCTATTCAATCAATATTACCTAAGCGACTATACTTTTAATCTTGCTGGTTGACTGTAGTTTTGCCCCACCTTGAACCCACCTCACTTCATGGCTTTGCTCAACAAAACACCCTTGAGCAGGGCTGGTGGGAAATCTGCTTTCCAGACCCTCTTCTGTCACTCTTAGACGGAAGCTATGTTTCTTTCAATAACTTCTTCCTACTCTAAACCTCCGATGTGCCTAGAATTCATTCCTTGATTTTATCGAACACAAACTTGGTGTTTCGAACTTCAAGCAGGTTGGAGTTATACTATTTCCATTACATTATTTGGAGGTCAACAGTTCATATTCCCTCTATCAAAATGGCCAGGCCTAATGCCTCCCTGGGGCTGTAACTTGAGATTATACTATAATTGGTGTCGTCTGGTCCAGTGACGTCCAGATAGACAGACATCAGTCACTCCAGTGAGTGACCTAAACCTCCAGACCCGTCCCTTCTCCACAATGACTTGGTTCTTCCCATGGACCTGTGCTATGTGAACTGCTTCCCCGCTGGGTCAATATTAGCTAAGCAGCTATACTTACAATCGAATAATTTTTCAAAATGATGAGAGCTGATTAAAGCCTCTGACAGTGGAAATTCTCCCACTGCTAATGATACCTACTAATCTGGCAGATCCGCTGGCTTCTCCATCATGCACTGTCTCCTAAAAAGCTGACCTGGGGCCGGAGATTCAGTTCAGTGTTTCCGCCACCTGTCCGGAGTTTGATGCCCCGGTACGAAAAAAAAAAGCTGACCTGTAAGCGCCACACAATTCAGACTGCCACAGCCTCTGGCTTCTGCTTGCTCTGCCTGATAGGAGGTATAAGCAAGAAAGCATCAGACAGGCAAAAAGTGAAGACAGGTATTTACCCTCATGCCAGTCATCCTGGTGCCTCAGAGCATGGCAGTCCTGCTGCCCTCTGTTGGCCGTATCTCCTGCTGGGTTAGTACGTAATACATAAAACTGTCTTCACTGGAACATGGCATCATGCTGTACATTGGAAAAATTTAAAAACCAACAAAAATACTACTGGAATTAGAATGATATTTTAGCATGGCACATATCCTTGGCTTAATATGCAGAAATCTTTCAATTAACTATGTTGTACTATAAACAAATGCATTAGGAATTGTAACTATTACATCAAACGCAGCACATGGAATGGCACAGACATAATTTCACATATGTAAAAAGTCCACATATAGAAATTAAAACAAAAAAACAAAGATACTTCTTTCTCTTAATTGACACCTTCTTGATGACAGGCTTGACCTGGTCATGAAATGGTTAATAAATATGCCCTTTAATTTCAAGAGGCCATGCCTCCTGGTCACTTCTCCTCTCCATGAAAGATTTCCCTTTTCCAGTGCACACCAATGAGACCCAAGTCCCTGAAGATCACAAAGCTGCCTCCTGTGACTGAGGAGATTGAAGACACACTAAACAGCCTTATGATTTTCTCTTCACAACTTTGCCCATTTCTTGACCATCCTAATAGAAGAACTTCCCCACCATTCACCTTCCTCCTTCCTAGACACCATAATCCAAGACTTAGGCTACGGGAAGGCCTCTCAAACTTCTCCCCAGAACAAATCACCACTTTTACTTCCTGTGTTCTCCTGCTCTGATATTTCCTTTCTCAATATTACTCATCCTCTTAACCCCTAACACCTCAACCCAGACCCTTCCTAGATACCCCAGTCAGACACTCTCTCACGGCTCAGCTCAAATCATCCAAACCTTTAATGGAACCATCCAACCACCCTCCTGAGTCTGCCTCCATGTTTCCCAGAAAGCAGACTCAGTAATCCCTGCTCCCCTTGCAACATGGATAGACACTTCTGCAGGGCTACACTTCTCAGACTGCCAGTCCCAGGCCCACAGCCCTAGCTGAAGGATCTGACATCAGACTCCCAGGCCCCAAAGGGTATCAGACAGCCTTAAAGGTTCACCAACTGCCACAACGGACTGCAACAGGTCCCTCCCAAATGGACTGCCTCTAACCCACCCTGCTCCTTTGTGCGTTTCTCAGAACAAACAAGATCACTATTCTGGTTGGCTCTTCAGTCACCTCCCTCTGCATCCATCTCCTCCCACCTTCTGATCACTACAACTTTAACCATCTGGGAACTTTTTTATGGGTACCTAGGTACACTTCCTTCCAGAGCAGTCTAAATGCTACCATATCTGAATATTGCTAAGACAGAGGAAAGACACTCCCCTAACCCATGCAGATGCCCCAAAATGCAATCACATCAATACACCTGACAGCAGAGTTTTCCTAAGCCAAAATTCACTGTTCTTAGCCAAGAGGGTCCTGCAGTATTTCAACCAGCATCATCCCTTTCCCCCTTGACAGCTGCAACTTTTAACTCCTCCTTCCATATATGTCACAAATTCAAGGCAGTCTGACATTTACTTCCTAACCCACCCCCAGACCTCCTCCACCTGTCCTGATTTGACCTCACAGGATGCCTTTCCTTAGAGACAGGCGTCTTCTGGGTGTGTGGAAACAAAGCATACATGTGCCTACTTACCAACTGGACCAGGTCCTGAGGGGTCCCCACCGCTTCATCAGGCAGTGATCCATTGTAGAGCTTGTATTTCAGCAATCATTCTGGCCCTCCGGCTTGAGAATAGGTTTGCTTCAAAATTCAGGTTTAAATCGTGATACTTGATAGAAAAGGTTGCCAGTCTGATGTAGGTAAAATGTTTGAATTTTTTTGTTCTGGCAGCTTCGCAGAATGTTGCTATAATTTATTCTCAGTTTCTTCAAGAATTGTATCTCTTTGGGGGGGGGGCATATATTTATTTTCTTGGCTAAAATGAGTACATTGAGAGATCCAGTGTGACAAAAACATATCCATGAAGCCAGGTACCTGATACCAAGTTTTCGACCTTGCTCAACATCAGGCCCTCCCTCTGTTTCACTGTGCTCAGACCCACCTAGTTCTCTCACGACTGTGACTTCTCCATGGTGTAGTAACTGGCATTATCGTAGTACACGTTCGACACCATGCTGAGGGGCCAGTCAAAGGAAGAGCCCACGGAGCCCCGCAAGAATACGGGCGCATTCAGGCGTGTTGGCGCACAGCTCTGATTCCAGCATGGGGGAGGCCGATGCAGGAAGATCACAGCTAGCTCAAAGGCAGCCTGGGTACTTGGTGAGTTCAAGGACAGCCTAAACTACACGACCAGGCTACATCTAAAAGAAAAAAACAAAACAAAACAGCGGAAGCTCCGAAAAGCCAGGAGCAAGCTCTGAGTAAATTCAGTTATCCCTTCCAGTTAGGACGGGGGGACATCCGGGAGAGCCGCCGCTCTAGAAGTTTCTGAGTCACAATCCGCTATTTGAGCTCCACTCACGCAGGTAGGGATTCGTCTCTGTTGTCGTTCTCAGTTCAGGGATTGGCAACGAGCAGCAGCCAATCACTGATCGAGAGGCGGGTATTATGACCTGTCCAATCAGAGGGGAGCAGGAAGTAGGGCTCTTCCGGTGTCATGGCGCCCACGTCTGCAACCTGAGGACCTGGGTGAAAGCTACGTCACCTGTCTGGACCGCGTTGCTCCATGGCTCCCACCGGCTCTGTGCTGCGCGGGAAGGACCCTGGGCGACACTGATGCCACACAATGGCGACGGTACAAACTGGGAGGCGGTGGGGGTGAGGTGTCAGCGGAAGTGCCGGGAACCATCAATGACAGACCGGGGTCTCACTGTGTGCTGCAGTCTGAGGTCCTCCTGTCTTCAGCACTGGGTACCCACTGTCTCCACTCTCTGGGCTGGGACTGATCCAGCTGTGGGTCCCCAGCATTCTGTCTGCCACAGCGTTCCCACCAGCCCGGAGAGCAGGCTCAGGGAGCCCCAGCCCGGAGCCAGGTGTCCACCCGGGCAGGGGAGATTGGGTCGTGGGAAGACCCTGACTCAGGTGAGGGTTGAACTGAGAGAACTCAGGTGTCCCTGGTCCCGTTTCTCCCTGCAGCACACCTGGAGCACCTGTGTTTTATTAATGCCTGTGATGCAGGGTCTCAAACTCAAAGCTGCCCTCCTTGAGCAAATGGTCCTTTTCATGACAATGACATTCTAAATTTGCGATATGTCACTACATTGCCCAAACTTCTGATAGCTATTGAAAAAGGCCATGAAAATGTTAAAAAAAAAAAAAAAGTTTACCTTGGAGGCGATGTAACCTTGATGGAGCACTTGCCAAGCAGGCAGTGAAATCCTGTGTTTCACACAGAGCAGTGAAAAAATGTATCATCTTAGTGTTTTAGGTGTCACCTCTGCTCATAAGTAAACCATTGAAATGAGGTCTTGCCATATCATATAGAATGCTGAGAAAAATGGATGGGATTTTACATGTTAGCAAGGGGAGCTGAAAGTGTCCCTGTTAATAAGGACAACTTCGAAAGGCTCTACAATTTCAGCACAGTCTAAGAAAGACTTGGAACTTGAGTATCTACATGAGGTTGTGCATGGTAGGCCTGCAGAGGGAGAGGGGTGTCATCTCATATCTTTACCATAGCCCTTGGACTGTACGTAGACATTGTTTTCAATACTGAAATGCTGATTGAAGTGGACTTTGCTATATAGGAGTATTGAATTAGGGGTAAAGCCCCAGAGTTAAAGTCTGCAAGCATATGGATGGCTAAGGATAAAGAAAGTCTTCTGTGTAAGGAAGAACAAGTAGAAGGAGAAAGAAAGTGAGAGAGAAGGGGATACTGGAGGTTTCCAGAATCAGCACCTACAACAGAGATGGTTTTCCTCTGAGGTTACCTTGTCTTTAATGTGACAAAAAAGGAAGAGTTGTGTGCTGGCTCAGTGTGAGACTGGGTCAAAGATCACAGGCAGGAAGGAAAGAGGGGAACTCATTAAATGTTAGAAAAATGTCTACTGTTACCTCTGGTTAGGTACGCTAACCATTTTTGAGGAAACATTGAAAATTATGGAACTTCAGGGACCTGTGGGCTTAGGTAGACACCATCATGTCATCTAAGTGTTATGGGAAGAGATTATCTTCATGATACAAATGATTCAAAGATGTGATTGATGTTTTTATTGCATAGGAAACAGGACTGCAGACTTTTGTTCTGAGCTATATTCCCCACACATTGTGATTTCTTTTTTTTTCTTCTTCTTCTATTTTTATACCAGTTCGCACTAAGGTGCCCAGTGAACTTTCCGTCCTGTTTCAGTCTCCTGGATGGCTGAGATGACAGACATGTGCCACCTTGCTGGCTAAGATGTGGGTGTGTTACTCACCATTACCAACGACGATTACAATGGTTGGGTAAATTAAGCATCAGTAAAACATGGTGATGCCGCCTTACTGCAGCCACAGGAGATATTGAGACAGGAGTATTGCAACATGAAGTCCATCCTACACAGTTGAGCCAGACCCTGTTTAAACATAAAACATAAATATTGGAGATGTATCTGCACCCTAAATAACTTGTCTAACATTCATTAGGCCCTGAATTCAATTTCCAATGCTGAAGAATAAAAGAAAAAGTGGTAAGGATTCTTCCCTTCTTTGACTTTTGAATTATAAATGTCAATTTTAAAAGTAAGTAAGAAACCTACTTTGACTTTTGAATTGTATAATTTTTTCACACTAGTGGTGTGGGTTACAGTGCTTGCCCAGCATGCTGGGTACCAGCAGGAGTCACTGCTGTGTCAGCAACAGGCTACCAAGGGAAAATTTCCAGGGATTGGCACTGCATCGTATTCACTAAAGTACATAAAATGTTTATGATTTTATTATGAAAATATGCTTTGGTTAGAGAAATTTTCCTGACTAGAAGTCAAGGAGATTATGGTGAGCAGTTTTAAAGGCACCAAGTAGTTGTAATGATGTTTGCAAGATTAAGCATATTTAGTACCTTTTCAATACCTTTTACTTCTGCCTTCCTTTGGATTAATCAAGATTTTTTTTCATGCTAACTTAAGCAGCATTTGTAGGCTCATTCTTTCAACTCTGGTTGGAGTGCTTTTCTCTAGAATATGAAACTCAGCAGATGGGTTCCTGTGTGGAGTCCAGTGTTAATGAGGTTGTTCTGCAAAACTAACTGGGAGAACATCATGAGTAATGTTTGAGTAAGGGAGGTCTAATCAGGATTTTGTTTTCTAGATTTGTTTTGCTTTGGTGTGATTTGATCTGTCATTATTTTCCTGTGTTACAGAGAGATGCAGCACTGTGATAATACTGTCTGGTTTACATCACCAGGGAAGGGGATTGAATAGAAATAGTCCATGAACAGGCGCAGGACTGTAACTTTGACCAAAAGACACCAAGCTTCAGCAATGGTGAAAAAAAGAAAAACAACTCCATTTTTAGTTTTAATTTATGCTGAGTCTGGCAACCCGTCTGTCTTAACTTTGTAGAAAATACCTGGCTTTTTATTCTAGGTTTCTTTGCTGCTTCTTCTTTATCTTTCATGGACCGAAGACAGGTCTGCCCAGTACTGCCACCTCTAAGACTTGGGGCTCTTCACTCCTTTCCAGTGACTTACATCTCTCTCAGGAAAGAGGTGACACTGAGCCTTTGTTATGTGTTTCATAACTGACAGGAGACTGCAATCCTCAAAATCCCACTGAGGCCTGCTGAATTCTCCACACTCTGGAGCGCTCTCTTGCTGGTACACTGGAGAAGCCCATGAGATTGGCCTGTGGAGAATGGCACAGTGAGATAAAGCGCTGAGCTTCTGCTCAAGTCACACCTTGGTGTGGTGTCTACAACCTCCCAGTTAATGTGTGGGTACCAAGCACTGGACTGTTTTCTGGCTTTTTATTCTAACTGGATCAGAAATCAGCTTCGGTAGGGAGGTCTAGAATGTCTAGGAGTACAGACTCAGAGTCCCTGAGCTTGGCATGCAGAGCCAGAGAGATGGCAGCTCTTGCTTCCTTTTTTTTTTCCTTTTTCCTTTCAAGGCACTATGATGTTGAGTAGCTCACGTGTCTAGATGCATCTGCTAAGTTAACGAATTCAGTCACTGGTGATTCCATACTTGGAAAAACATGCAGATGCAGCATAACACCTTGTTTGCCTTTTCCTCACTTATGGGAAAGTAGGCTTCTCTGGTTCTCTCAGTGATGTAAATCCCACAGGGAACATTGTCTTGCTTGCTGACCTAAAGCCAGATTTTGATAGATGTTCAGAATCACATTTCCTGGTGCATAGACTGTGTATTCACTTAAAAATCTTAATATATACCATCCACACTCCCGCCACAAGTGGGCAGGAATTCCTGTCTCTCATAACCAAATTCCAATTTGATGAATTCACAATGAAACTCGTTTTGTCTTTTATGTCTCCTTTCTTGTATGCCTTTTTTCCTTTCTTGTGTAAGCCGTTATGTCCATTGTCTGCTTATATCCTGTGCTTCTATTTGTGATGAGGACCTTTCTTTTGTAAAACCTTTTTTCTCTATTCTAAATATTTCTTTGTTATGTCTCAAGAATGAAAATAGAGTACTTTCTGGTTTTTTTTCCTCTGCATGCTAATTTCTTCAGGGATTTTCTTTGCTGAAGAAATCCAAACTCCTATGGTTTTATATCTTTTTAAGCCACTTAACTTTTGTGACTTTAGAAATTTATTTGTGAATATTTCTTCACTCCTAAGGCAGAAAGTCCTTTTCTTATACTTTTGTCTGTATTTTGCAGTTCCATATTCCTTGTTGTCAATTATATCTGCATGGTGTGAAACTTTGAAAGTTTGCGGCAAAAATCAGCTTTACTAAAGGCCCATGAAATGAGCAATTTACCACCATAAGTGAATGATCACTCACCTCTTCCTCTTTATTTCTACTTCTGGCCTTAACAAATCTGTTTAGAATAAAACATGTACTTTTTGATATTTAGTGTGGCTACATGCTGTTTGAGTTCAGTCTAAATGAAATTCACCCTTTTGCATGTTCCAAAGAAATATATATCCCTTCTGTTTATTTTTATTTGAAATTTGAAAAATATAGTGGTTTCCTTTGTTTTTCAGAAAGTATTCTGGAAGATTTTTGTCACATTTATATGATAGCATTATTGTATATTATTATTATATTATAGTATAAATAGCACTGTATTAAGGATCATATATAAAGAATGTATAATGTGTCATATCAAAGTTGAGTCTGTATAGATCATCTTTTTAATTTTTTTTTTTCTAGTTAGCTTGAGACAGACTCTCTGTAACTCAGGCTGGCCTTGAACTCACTCTGTAGTCCAGGCTGGTCTTGAACTTGTGGACATCTGGTTTCCTGAGTGCTGGGATCACAGGCATGTATCACTATGCACAGCTGTCCAATTTTAGTTGTATGTAACATTTTTCTCTTTGAATATGTTGCAGATTTTTAGATAATTTCTTGATATTGTTAGTTAAAATGTATGGATAGATGCTTGGTAGTATGTGAAATAATCTGCAGTTGTCAGTAAAATCTTTCATTTACCATGATATTTGAGGAAGACTTTTTTGTATACAAGAAAATAATATTATAGAGTGAATGAAGAAGCGGAGTGGAACATCTTTTATATTCTTTCAGTGCAGACATAGGTAGTTTTTGCAAAATTGATACAGGTTCAATTTTTGTTTATTTTTTGAGACAGGGCCTCCCTGCTGGTCTTGACTCACTATGTAATCTCAGGATGGCCTTGAACTCCTGGTGATCCTCCTGCCTCAGCCTCCAGAATGCTAGGATTACAGGAATTCATGACCAAACCCTGCTACACGGTCAATCTTTTAATTCAATCTATTTCCATAATGTAGTTTTTTTTCCCTCATATGTTTATTATATTCACATTTCACAGGTACATTTTGCACTTTTGATTCTATTAATAACAAACAGGTTTTTATATTTTAACTAATACTAAATCTAAAACTGGTTCTTAAACATAAACAAGAGACCTTTTGTGTTCTGTGTTGTTATTGAGTGTCTATTGACCTTGAGAAAAGATATTTGAGAGCTATTTTCTTTATAATTTATCTTCAGATAGGGAATCAGTTGCTTTTATTATATGTACATGGTTTTTGCTAGAATTAAAACCAAGCAACACTGTGATTATTTTTCTAACTGATCTTCTCTGGCAGCACAGGAGTTCTTGTCATTGTTCTAAAAGGTTGCACCAGGATACTTTTATCATTTGTGGGTAGTGATTTTATCTCTTCCATTTCAATCCTTATGTCACTCATTTCCTCTTTCCTACAACCCCACACATGAAGTTTGGTTTCATGGGACAGAAGAGTGAGACAGTATCCTTGACTTATTTCTCATCCTGCAGGAGTTTCTGTATGGTCTCCATTCAGGGTTCCATGTGTTATTTTTGTGATATTTGTACTTTACCTGTTAATATCTTCTGATTTTTTTTTCTAGAGGCATTTAAGAAATAATTAATAGGAATTGAGAATTAGAAAATATTTTAATGCCAAGATTGAAATAATTACATAAAGATTTTTGGGTTAATTTGGGCTTCTAATGCTGAACCATCTTTATCTTTGATAAGATAGAGAAACACTTCTTAATTATTATGTAGTGGCTGCATGTGTTCATATTGTACTTCAGATTGAGTTGAGGACCCACACCAGCTAGGAACCCATGCTACCACTCAGGTGCTTGCCTGTTTTCTAATAATTTCATGTAGTTGATGAGCTGCTATTTTATTCTGGATTCGAAAATCTGCATGCTGAGATGCAATTAGCCTGTAATTGTTTTTTCTTTTAAACATATTACCAAGTTTTGGTAAAGATTGCATTTACTTGATGAAACGAGATGCAAAGATTTCCTAACCTTTGTAAAATTACTGACATTTGTCAGCTAAGCATACATTTTTTATTATAATGTTTGCATTGGTGTATGTTTGCTGTACATAACAAATACATTAATCAGACGGAATTGGTACATATCCTAATCTTAATCAATATCATAAAAGTTTTAGTGACCCTTGTAACACCTCTGAGAGATGAATTCATGGAGGGAAATTTTTTGCGTTTGTTTGTTTTTTTAGGACAGAGTCTCATTATGTGGTTCAGGCTGGCCCTGAGCTCATTATAACACAAGCTGGCCTTGAACTCCGGGCAATCCTCCTGTCTCTCCCTCCCGAGTGCTGGGATTACAGGCAAGTTTTTTAATCAGCACTTCACTTGCTTGGCAAATTACTTGATTCTCCAGCACCCTTCTTCTTATATCATGTTTGAAATTTTATCCATTCCAAGGAAGCTGTACATATACTCTCTGAAGTTAATTAAGTAAAACATTGGTTATACTTTTTATTTCTCTTACAATATTTTTGATTAACCAGGTGCAGTGGTAAGCATAGGTAATCCCAGCATTCAGGAGGCTGATGCAACACTATCAAAAGTTGATGCCCATCATGGGTCAAATAGTGTGACCTTTACTCAAATTAAAATATATATATGCCTTTTATAATTAGTTCTCATTTTCACTGTGATTTTATTGCTATTCCTGTCTAGTTGTTACTCCCACACCCGTTTACATTTTCCAATGTATTGATTCCTGCACCATTAATTA